CATTAACAATAGATTTTTTTCTTATAGACATATAATATTATGTTATATTGGTTAATACGATTAACCAACTAATCAAATTGATTAATTTTAAGTTTGGTTAATTTCATCGTTGTATTAATTTGGTCGATTTGGTTATGATATTTTATTTCATAGTAATATAATTTATGTTTAAATGGTAAGAAAATTACCATGGTAACCATTTGAAAAACCATAAGAAGAATATAGACTAGGGATGAACATGGGTCAGGTGGGTTGGTTTTGGACCATTTTGACCACCCGATCCTTATATGTCGGTTTTAATAGATCTCAACAGAAATGCACCCGAAATATTTAAGACCCTATCGATTTTGAGTGATTACTTGATTTTGGTTGCAATGTGCACATTATTATGGATATGCCGTTGTTGTCTAGCAAAGAAATCCATGTGAATAACAAACTAGTTCGGATCCCCAATAACGCTATTTCAGTGCACCATGCGGGATCGATTGTTCTTCAACCTAGTTTTTGTTTAGATCGTGTGCTCCATGTACCAGAATTTTAGTGTAATTTGGTTTCGTTGAGTAGATTAACAAAGGATAATCAGCTGGCCATGATCTTTGTTGATAGTTATTTGTTCGATTCAATTATAAATGTTGATGTAAAATATATTTAAATCTGAGCATTGTTATTTTGTTTGAAATATTATATTATTTTGAGTATGAATATATTGTAAGTAGATTGTATTCTAATATATTTATATATATATATGGGGAGTTCTACGGTACCCAGAGTAAAATCCGGGGTACCGCATACCTTGAGTAAGAAAACACTATCCAGAACTTGAATTGACTGATCTTTCTGACATGATACTATACTCTAACCCTTAAAGATCAAAATCTAGGTCTTAATTCTCTAAATCTTGTACCCCAAGATCAATTTAATTAGAAACAATAATCGACGATTATGATTCGTCCAAATATAGGGGGGGAAAATCAATGTACCATCTTAGGGTTTATAGTTTATGACTAAGATGATTAGGACCTAGGGGTCACTCATTAAGGGTTAGGGTATAGTATCATGCCGAAAAATTCTGCTAATTCAAGGTGTAGATAGTGTTTTCATACTCAAGGTATGCAGTATCCTGGATTTCACCCGGGGTACCGTAGAAGGCACCATATATGTATATATTTAAATTCATCTGATGATAATCATTTTTCACATCTTATATGTTAAATCAACATAATACTATTATTTCGGGAAAAAAAATAAACATAACGATATCATACTCTATCATACTCTGATCAACATCAAATGATGACTTGTGCAGATTCCTATATAAAAAAATGATATGATTTGACAAACCGGCGCAACTATATATGCAAATTTTACATCTTTGCTAGAACCAGGTATGTTCAAATGGTTACTGCGGGCTGGTAGTTTGGTATCAGTATTTGGGATATACCGAATACCATATCGAATTTGTTTATATTTGGTATTATCGAATACATGTATTATTTCTTGGGATTGTGATTCAATTTCAGTTGTTATTCGGTATTAGGGATTACGGAATTAAGATCGGTATATACCGAAATACCGAACAATACTTGTGTGTAGTTTATCCTCTCAACTAGACTCTCTCATTCACTACTACACTACCCCCAACCACCAATCTATTGTTATTTTCATAACACCAAAAAACAAACACTAGAATTAGTCTTCTCTCAGTCTCCAATTCGTCAAATTAAATATTACCATTGACAAAAACTTGATATGTCACCTCTACTCGATTCTCCTTATTTATATCCTGGCTTTAGTCAAACTCAAAACTCTTTGTTTAGTCTATTTGTCCTATATTAAACAATCAAATCTAATTTATATATTAATTATAGATGTAATTAATTTCATATTCGATAATACCGATTGGGATACCGAAGTACCGATTGGGATACCGAAATTATTTAGGGATTGGGATTGGGATTGATTCTAGGGTGTAATTCGGTATTTGGTATTGGGATACCGATACCGTACCAAACTAAATAAGTCTAAAATCTTTTAACTATAAAATAAAATATCATAATAACCAAACCGTCCAAACTAATACAACAACCAAATGCAAGTTTAATTGGTTACTAGAATAACCAATATAACATCACATTATCATTAAGTGAGGAAATCTTCGGTTAATGAATCAATTCTCAATTTATATAACGAATAAAAACATAAATATAAGTATATAGTTATAGTTAACCCTTACCATAAATACACGTAACTAATACAATTATCTTACTGTCAATAGAAGTATTCACGTAACAAAAGTATATGTCAACATGGCATGAGGTTAATGAATTATTGTGTTTTGTAAATTGACTTATTCTCAATAGAAGTATTTATGTAACATCACATTATCATTAAGTGAGGAAATCTTCGGCTAATGAATCAATTCTCAATTTATATAGCGAATAAAAACATAAAAATAAGTGTATAGTTATAGTTAACCCTTAACATAAATACATGTAACTAATACAATTATCTTACTGTCAATAGAAGTATTCACGTAACAAAAGTATATGTCAATATGGCATGAGGTTAATGAATTATTGTGTTTTGTAAATTGACTTATTCTCTTAGCAATTATCATAAGCTGAAATAGACCTTCCTTCCAAGTTTTCATCCAATATATTGTATGAGTTTTATCTAATATAGAAGTCCATATGTTGTGGTCTACACTCTACACTCTATAAATACAAATATACAGTACAAGAACAATATTGAACTTTATTTTTTATAAGTCTAAGAGTGAGAAACGTTTGACACCTGAGTGGTTATGCAAAGTTTTAAGTATGTGTATATAATATTTATGAGATATATGGCTAGTTACTTAACTGGTTAGTTTGGTTTGATTGGTTAGAAGTGTCTAAAACAAAACCAACCCAAACTACCTAAACCAAACAAACTAAAAAATTTAACGAAACCAAACTGTTATCCAAATTAATTAAGGGATAATATCTTAGTTTGGCCCGAAATATACACATACTTACTACTTTGGCCGGTGGTATTGGAAATTGTTATTCTGGCCTGAACTATGTAGCAAACTTCCTCATTTGTCCTGGAGGAGGGTTTGACCGTTAAATTAGACGGTCAAACTTGTTGACCGTTAGTCAATGTCCACCTCACCTGCCACGTCAGCTTTGGGGACATAAAAATATTTTTTTCATTTCTGAATTTTGTTTTCTTGTCATTTGCTAAAAATGGGTCCTTTTTCATTATTTTAATTACTTTTTTTGATTTATTATTTTTATTAATTGAAAGAAAACAAAATCCAGAAATAAAAAATAATAATTTTTTATGTCCTCAAAGCTGACGTGGCAGGTGAGGTGGACATTGACTAACGGTCAACAGGTTTGACCGTCTGATTTGACGGTCAAACCCGCCTCTGGGCCAAATGAGGAAGTTTGCTACATAGTTCAGGCCAGAATAGCAATTTTCAATACCACGGGCCAAAATAGAAAGTATGTGTATAGTTCAGGCCAAACTAAGGTATTAACCCATTAATTAAACCAAATTATCCAAATACTACCAGTTAAAATGATTAGCATGATAAGCACATAATTTGAACACCCAGCTAGAACTACATAAGCGGGAGCGAGGAAAAATATTGGACCCTAAAAGAGCAACGTTATACCATGGAACAGGAAACTGGATCGTACTGGCCGGTTCGTCCGAAAAAATCGGAAACCAGACCAGAAACGAAACGGTAGGTCTTTAGGTGCAGAAATATCATATCAGCTGGTTTTTTTTAGGTCGGACCGATTGGCCGCGGAATACCGGCCGATTTTGAACCTACCGGCGGTAGGCTGTTTGCAAGGAAGTTGGGCCTCGTCACCGCCTCCGCACAGCGACCACCGCTCCATCTCCGCCGGTGACCCGCGGCGCCAGCCACATCCGGCTGGCTATCGTCCTTCCACGCCATCGCGTGATCCCGTCGTTGCTTGTCATCGTCATCTGGGCTCTGGCCGGCTGCACCTACGCGAAAGAAGAACGAAGAGGAAGGAAGTGGTTTGTTTGAAACTTGAAAGAAGAAAGAGAGGAAAGAAGTAGAAGGCTGCATGTTATCCCACCACAGCCACCAGAGGAAAGAAGGCTGTTGTTTTCAATGGTATTGGTTCATTTTTTTATGGTTAATTTCTTATAGAATGAGAGAGGGGAGAATGAGAGAATGCAGAGTGAAAGTGACGGGAGCGCCTATGGCTAGGGTTTCTCCTTGAACCAATACCAAGAGAAATAATTGTTATTTGCCTTAAAACATTAATGTTAACATGCATGAATAATTTTGATACCCTAAATCTTAGTACATAACAAAGATACAAAGTAAAAGCATCCCAACTTGCACCATAACGTCATAAACATTAACATAATACCATATGGAGACACAATTATCTCTACTCTCTGGTTAAATGTGGTTATGAATGAAGGAGGGACGTGATTCACAAAACTAAGGTTGATACTTGGGTGTCGTTGTGGGAGTTGGGAGAGTGGTCGAATGAGGTGTTAACACGTATTGACAAGTTGGTTGGGTCCACGGTTTGGTCAGGTAAATCGCGGTCTAGACCAGACCAGACCAAGAGATCAAAACATAAAATAATACAGACCGTGGACCAGATCATACCATACTTAACGGTCTACGGTCCGGACCAAACTGTGCGGTACGGTTTGGACCACCGTTTTTCTAACGGTCTTGTCTATTTTCCGAGCCCTATTGTCCATGAGACTTCTGTTTTTTTAAAGCAGTCCATGAGCCTTTTGTTAATTAATTTTTTTTGTTATTATTTGATTATTTAGTATTTATTATCCGATATATTCTGGTATAATCCAATATTATTTCGAAACGAAATCTTGATTTTGCCGGCACGGTTTTTATACAAAAAATATATATTTTATTATTATAAAACGTATTTACTGATATTAAATGATTGAACCACGATCGTACCACAAAATATCTTACCCGAAATTAATCCGGTATGATGTCCGGTACGATTTCTGAACCATGCGTTATACACTGCCTTTCAAATGTACAAATCGTAGAATTTTCTAAAGAATTTAAAAAACAATTAAAAATTAAAAACCACAGCCTCCACCCTTTTCGTTTGGAACTTCTAGATCTCTCTGCTTCCTCTTCGCTCGGACGCGCGAAAATTCCAAAAAAAATTCTTGTCCGGTCATTTCTCGATCTAACAGATCCACCGGCGGCCGATACAATGAGACCAACGACGACTTCATCTGCCGCGTCTTCCTCCGCCACCACAACGACAACAACAATAGTACTGGAGAACCCAGCCCAGCAGCAACCGCAACCGCAACCGCCATCGCAAACCCTAGTTTTGCGCCTGAATCGGCCTAAGAAGAAAGTTTCATGGAAGGAAGGCACCGTGGACAACGAATTCATGCAGAAGAAGAGCTCCAAGAAGTGCTGCATCTTCCACAAACAGAAGCCCTTCGATGAGGACGACAGCGACGAGGACGAGGACGATCAACATCGGAATCATGGCGGCGGCCATCACGATCATCCCTCCTCGGAAGGCTGCTGTTCTTCCAGCAACGGCCAGTGTGGTTGATAAATTCGGGCTGCCGCATTGCTTTTGTGAGTGTAGAAAAGATAAATTCGATTGCTTTCGACCTAAATTTGTTTCATAACTGATTTACCACTGGACCCAGGGAATTAACGATTGACTTGTTCCTTTTGTCCTGATATGATATGATGTGTTTGGAATCTCATCCTGATGAATCTCCATTGAATTTGGTAATGGTTGTTTCCCAGATGATCCTGTTATTTGGTGTGCCCCGATTGATTTCATTTCTCATTTTGGACCCATAAAAGAACTCATTGGATTGGAGAACTGCCGAAGGCAGCTGAGATCGAGCTTTATTTGTTTGTATACGTGCATTCTGAATCCATTAATAGTTTAACCTTGATGTTCTTTCTTTCACCATGACCCCTGACTTTGTTGTGTTGCCTCGAACCAGTCCCTCCGCCCCATGGTGGGGTTTCTGCTAGGCGCAGAATCTAGAAAATCAATGTAGAATGCTTGTGAATCACTCAGTCATGGTTCTTTCTCATTGGAAATGACCCTTGTAGTATACTTTTACTGCCTGGGTTGGTTTTTTTTTTCACACCATAAAGTGCCCACTTGAATCTAGTCTTGTTGCTATAAGCACAGATGTGATTTTTTTTTATTTCAGAGTTCAGTTTTCCAGGTGCTGGATGTAATTGCTGTCGATATCCCAGTGGAATAGTTTTAGGCTGCTTGTTTGAAGAAATCAGTAGTCGGAACAGGCCGTTTTTCTGGTACAGTACAATATCTTGTGTCTACAATCTGAAAATAGATTGTCCTTGCAGGGTATTATGTAGACCACAGCGGTTTTCTTCAGTTTCAAGTTCAGTATTCTTCCTATTTAATTCTGCAATGGCCAATGATGCTGTCATTAATAGTTTAACCAAGATGTTCAACTGGCCTACATGGTTAGGGACATCTTAGACTTGCCTGCACTTATATGCAACATTTAGACTGTTTCTGATAAGCTTGTTTCGCCAAAAGGTCTGGCATTTGGAGCAAACTCCTAAATGCTGATTCTGCAGCTGGTTCTTATAGTCTGGTGACGGAACCATGAATAGGACGAATGTGTTCGGAATTCCGATTGCATATTCATGTGCGTTTTAATTCTTTTCCTTGCACACCATTTATCTGCATTTTTTTATCAAGATTCATAATGAGCAGGATATTGCAATTGCGCTAACTAGATGATTCGGGTCCAAGTGTACACATTTTATCTCTCATTTCTTGATAGTTTGGCTTTGCATTTCATCGTCCATCGACCTATTTTACGCTAGGTTGTGCTATTTTCGATATATTTCAGGTCTTATCACGCGTGAAAGGGTCTATGATGAGTTTTGGGACAATTGGAGATCGAAAAGCACCAAAAAGAATAAAAGTACGAAATCACGGTTTCGCTTGTCTCGCGGGCTTGAAGCGATCGTGACAATTAACTAGAGACCATGAAGTCGGACTAAAATCGGCCAAAATGTTGTGTTTTGGTCCGATGTCACGGTCAGAGCTCCAATATCACGGCCGTGAACTTCGGACTGTGAAAGTGACTATCGCGCTCTATAAATAGAACGCTGCTAGTAGGGCTGCAAACGAACCGAATCGAGCCGAGTTTTTGCTTAGTTTGAGCTCGACTCGTTTATTAATTTTTTAGCTCGAGCTCGGCTCGAACTCGAATTTTGATAATCCAGCTCAAGCTCGAGCTCAGCTTGAATAAAAATAAACTAGCTCGAGCTCGACTCGGTAGAGCTCGATAAATGCTCATTAACATAGCTTGTCAACCTGAGTACAAGCTCGGCTCAAGATGAGCTCGATTTAGAATTATTCTTGCTAGAAAAATGTGTAAACATAAGTTTAAGAATGTAAATGATAGAAAGAACACTAGAAACTATAAATAACATCTAAATTTCATACACATTTGTATTAACAAGACAATGTTCATGTTTAAAAGAGTAATTCATCCTTCCACAAGTTCTAAACAAGGCAGCTCGCGAGCTTAGCTCAACAAGCCACCGAATCAAGCTAGCTTGAGAGCTTATCAAGCTGAGCATGGTCTAGCTCAAGCTTGGCTCGTTAACTAACCAGTTGGCTCGCAAGCCGACTTGTTAAATAACGAGTCGAGTGTCGAACGAATTTTTCCCGATTCGAACGCCGAGTTGCTCGCGAGCGGCTTGGCTCATTTGCAGCCCTAGCTAGTGGTAGAGAGAAAGGGGGCTTTTTGGTAGGTTTTTAGTGTGCATAATAACATGGGGTTTCTAGTGAGAGATTAGGATTTCTTATTCAGAGCTAGGGAGAGAAAGTGCCCTAACCTAGAGGATTGGAGGTTCCTTCTTTTCAAGTGAGATTCAAGCAACAAGGAATGAAGATAGTCATCTCTTCATGATTCTTTCTCTCCTCTCTGTTGTTTTCCCTTGCCTAGATATGGGGTAGTCTATCTACTCACTTGGGTATTGTGAACCCTAGTCTAGATGTGTGTTAGGATGTACGAACATGACTCTATGTGCGTTGATTGATTTGTTTAAATAATATTTGAGGTATTATTCATGAATGATTGAGTGTTGCTAGCTTAAACTCACTATTATGCCATGTTGGCCTAGGTGGAGAGAATTCCCTTGTTGTAAGAGCCTTTAAGAAGCTAGATTATTGGCTAATGATAACCCCCTATATGGGTGGTTTTGATTCAGGGTCGCACAACGAGAATTGGGGTTGAATTCCAATTCGAATTTCAGACGCAAACAGGGTATGAATGGAGTACTTGGTGGTATAATTCTCTCGTGCAATCGTACACATAGGACGAAGGCTCGAAAAGAATCAAGTCGAGGCTGGCCACGATCAAGAATGGATGGCTTGATCGATACAACAACGAGAGCCTAGAACTCGTTCTAGCTACTCTCAATAACAAGCAAGAGCTCGTGAACCAAACTTGTAGTTTGTATTCAATAAAAGTGAAAACTGATTACAATTGTGAATTGAAAGGGCCTTAAATAGAGAAACAACAAAGACAGAAATCTAAACACAAAAGGACTCAAAACATACTCGAATTAAACAAGGAAAAGGAATCTTAATCCCACAAGGATTCAAATTTTGCATTTTTCCAAAGACAGAAAACGTGTCTTCCTACGATCTTTGGAGCTTTTGTTTGAAAGCTTCCAAGCTTCCTTCCCTTCATCCAATGCCACGACGTTGTAATAGAAATGACACACTTTCATGTGATGCAAACCTCCCAACTTGACCCTAGATCAAACTCGTCGAATTGAAGCTCAAAGTTGCCTCGACGAAGTCAGTTCCAGCCTTAGTCAATTATGACAGTTTTTGCCGTGTTGAGGTAGCAACTTGATTGACTTGGAAAACAACCCTCCGACCAACCTTTCGAGCTGCAAAGCACATCATTGGAAAGAAGAACTCTCCCTCTTCAAAACAAGCCCGAGAGGTCGAATTTTCACCAGGCCAATAAGAAGTTTCACTCATCCCAAGTCGGTACCTGAAATCGTAAAACACACTTTGACATATTTTATGGGTTAGCTTTGATTCTTCAACGATTGTGATTCATTCATTTTGTGCCTTATGACATGCCCCAAAAATTTTGTTGAAAAAGAAGTTGTAAGCTTACCTTGTTTTGTGCTTGGCTTGCTTGGGGACAATCAAACCAAGGGAGCTCCCGACCTTGTAAATAGCAAGGATTGGTGGTTAGTCTAGGTTAGTTAGTTTAGTTGTATTAATCACTATGCTAGGTTGGCTAGATAACGAATCCTAAACCTGAAGTAGGGTAAGCCTAGATCCTCGCGGTACGATAAATTCTTATTGCTTGATTGCCCTATGCTACACTCGGCCGCGGTTATACTTGGCCATCCATCGGGATGTTGTAGTTAGAACGAGTCAACTTGTGTTGGTTTGTGAAAGGGTGAGAACTTTTCATTTGCACACTCTTGATGCATTCAAATGTCGTTTGTGGTGGATGCCGGTATTACTTATATCAGTTCATGTGTTGATGCCCAATAGCCATTGAGATTCGCTGCTTTGACCCTTTTGATTCGTCCCCAAGTTATCTTGTTAGGTTGAGATATCACCTTATCTGGAAAAGTTTGCTTGGGGACAAGCAAACGTCTAAGTGTGGGGGATTGATTCGGGTCTAATTGTACACATTTTATCCCCGTTTCCTTAGACGTTTGATGCATTTATCTCTGTGAGGTGTGGTTTTACGCTAGATTGCACTTTGTTTTAGTATGTTTCATATCCTAGCAGGTGAAACTGACCCCGGAATGAAAAGTTGGACGAAAAGGAGCAAAGACGAGTCAAAAGGTGGAAGCAGTTGAGGATCACGGCAGATGATGACTTTTCACGGTCTTATGGACCATGAAAAGGGCGCCCAGACCGTGAAGGGCTGAAGTTCCAGAAGCAAAATGCACACCTCACTGGAGTCCAACCTGTTCACGGTCGTAAGACCGTGAACCAAGCCCCAGATCGTGAAGTGCCAAAGAATCCATAAGCAAAATGCACACCTCACTAGATCCCAGTCAGTTCATGGTCGTAAGACCGTGAACAAACTAAGTGAAAACGGTGTGGATTTGCTAGACATCACAGTCCAGAGAGGATGTTCACAGCCGTGAACTGTGACCGTGAATTGACCGCGACCTGGGTATAAAAAGAGGGTTGGGCTGAAGGAAAAAGGGGGGAGACCTAGTGTGAGAAAATACTTCTTCTTCAGCTTTCTAGAGAGAGAAATTGGTGAACCAAATAAGAGAAGAGGTTAGGGTTTCAACTCCAAGCAAGGTTTTGGGAATTTCTTCCCCAATGGAGGATCTTTACACCACAAGGAGCAAGGCTAGCATATCCAAGATGGTTTTCCTTCTTCTCCCTTGTGTTTCTTCCTTGCCTAGCATGGAGTAGTTTCTTTTTTCACTTGGGTGTGTGTAAACCCTAGCTACAATGATGGGAATGTTTGTATGGATGGAATGATTAGTGTGTGGGTGTGTTTTAATACAAAATTATGAGGTATTTTCATGAAGATTGATAGTGTTTGTGCATTTCAATGTCTTATGTCATTTTAACCTAGGTAGAGAGGAATCTCCTTTGATTAGAGGTTTATAAAAGCTGGATTTCCTTGAGCAATCTTTGTCTCCTATTTAGGTTAAATTAGGGCAAACCTCTTAATTCGTATTAGCACCTAGAGTTGGTTTTAATGTGCCCGTCCGAACTCCGATTCGATGGTGAAGTTTAGGCAACCCTTGCTTGATAGGTTAAGAGAGCTAGTATAGTAGCTTGAATCAGATTTCCTTGACCTATTGGCAGAGAGAGTGGCGTTTGTTTACTAGTTTCACTTCCCAACGGTTTACAACCACCTTTCCCACACCTACGAATTCGATCCGACAAGTCATCATTGTTAGATAGGGGGAGCAACATCCGGGTGAAGCCTTCTCAATTAGTGTCCAATTCATTTACTTTTCCAAACGTTTTAGTTTTAGATTGTTGTTTTCACCAAAAACCAAATGCTAGATAATGTTTCAAACGATCTAAGTAGAGGTACATGGTCAGACCCGAGTTGATATTTAAACATACTTGCTCTATATTGCACCCGGTTAAGGTTTATACTTGGGCATTAATTGAGATTTTTATTATGATATTCGGGATGAGTCATTATCTTACGCGTAAGAACAAGAGCGGAGGTTCTGTCAACACCAGACACTTGTACATGCTCCATCACCTCCATGCACGAGTTCCGTACACTTGAGAAGGACAATAGTCCAACTATTTGTCCAGATGGCCAAGGACAAGTATGGTAAGGTGCATGACAGAGCATTTGTCACCCACCTGGGTCGACACTTCCAAGTGGCACCTCGATACTTGCAATCTGATGCCATATCGATCACCAAAACCTTCACCTCCGTATCTTTTGATGGAAGGGATAAGTTGTTGCTCATGTGTCGTTGATGAAGAGAGCTCCAACCTTGTAAATAATCAAACTAGGGTAGTGTAGTTAGGTTAGTTAACTTAATCACTATTATAGGTTGGCTAGATAACGAAACCTAAAACCGAAGTAAGGTACACCTAGGAGGTCCGTGGTTCGATAATTTTTATTGCTTAATATTCTATGCGAACCCGGTCGGTAATTATGCTTGGGCGTTGATTGAGATTTGCAGTCAGAGTCGGGCCATTATGAATCATGGATCTCTCTTGTCGAGATGGGATTTGTATAATATGTTACATTGCTGATACGAAGATAAAAATAAAAATGAAAATTGAATAAAAAGAAGACAAAATACACCTCCATAGCCATAAATTTGCACTTTGTGACAATAATAGCCAGATTTTAACAAATACACAGATATAGCCATTTCGTCAACAACTTTAACGGAACAGTAATTAATGCCGACTGGACTAACGATTTTTACTGACGTGGTAATTTTTCATAAAAAGATAATGTCAGATTGAAATTATCATTTTTTTAATTAATAGAAAATTGCTAAAACCTTTTTCCCCTTCTCCGTCTTCCTCTTCCTCTTTCTTCGATGGTGAAGTTCAACCCAATTCCCCACTTCCCTTTACCCAGACAAGTAAAGAACGCCAAATCGATTCCTACCAACAAAAAGAAAGAACACCAATCGCATTCCCGTTTCTCTCGGCATCGATCTGCCATTAAACCAAATAAAGGTATTTGTGTGTGAGGTAAGGAGTAAACTGGTGGGAGAAAAGGCGAAAGCCAGAGAGGAGAAGGAAGCTCGCGCTCGGAAAGTTGGTCGGCGGCAGCGGTTGTCGACTTGGCTCCGCCTTTCTTTTCCTTGAGAGCAGATCTAGAAGCTCCGTTCGATTTCTAAGCAAGCGATCTTCGCGAAAACGAAATCCAAGACGCACTATCTCCAGCGGACTTACTCCTTCAAAAATCCAGATCTTGAGACTGAAGAATCCCAATCGTTGCCGTAATTGAAGCACTGTGGACGACTGTAGAAGATGCCATGTCGCCGTAGCTGGAGAATCGCACTACTGTAGCTCGACAAGGGTTTCGTCGTCGGAGTTAGAGTACAAATTGAAGCTAGGTGAGATCGGGGAGAAGGTGACGACCGAGGTGGGTTTTTGCTGGTGGTGTTGCATCTGGATTCTCAACTGTAGAAAAGCTTCGAAGGATACGTTGTGCTATCTCTGTATATGGTGGGGAAGGGAGGGAGGCGAAGCGACAAAGAAGTAAGAAGCTGAAAACCCAGATCGAGAAACGAAAAACCTAATCCCCGCTATCGCCATCGCAGACTTCCTCGAAAAATTCGAAACAGAATCCTCTAACTCCAGTGGCTACTTTGTGTTTCATAATTAAGGGCACAAAGTAATAATTATTTTTTTATAAATAATTTTTAAAAATAATATTTTTTAATCTGACATGGCAGTACACATGGCATGCTATGGTGACTGAGACATGATGTGGGTGCTGAGGTGGCGTACACATCAGCGTAATGTCCACGTTACTCACAGAATTACTAACGGCGTCAAACTTTTTAATGAAAATGGCTAAATATGTCAAACTAGTTTCAAAATTCTGGCTATATCTGTGTATTTTCCAAAATTTGGCTATTGTTGTCACAAAGCGCAAACTTATGGCTATAAATGTGTATTTTGCCTAAAAAGAAAACAAAGCAGGCGCTCCCGTCGTCCGGCCCGCAACCAAATCGCACCCGCCCAACCGAGCCCCGGCTCTGCGAGCGACAGCTCTAAACTCAAATTCCTTCTTGCAGTAGCCTTTATTTTTAAAATTCTACCTTTTCCCTTTTTACTTTCTTCAATTCTCCCCGACGGAGTCTTCATTAATTCTCTCTCCGTAGTTTAGCGGTAGTATTGCGTCTGCAATCTAGGGTTTCCAGGGTTCTTCGAGAAGATGGACATCGAGCAGAAACAAGCAGAAATGATCGATCACTTCGTGAAACAAGCTTCTTCACTTAAGGGTTCAGCAATTGCTCCCCTTGTTCTGGAGGCTACTTCCAACCCTTCCCTCTTTGCCTTCTCAGAGATTCTCGCTGTGCCTAGCGTCGCCGAGGTCAGTATTTTCCATCTACTGCTGCCTCGAACATGATGGATGGATGGATTCTATCTGTATGCCACTTGCATCTTGTTTGCTTATTGTGTGCTGCCCGACTAATGACTTCCTCAGCTTGAAAGGACTGAGAGTGCCACGCTGCTTGATACGCTTCGGTTGTTTGCACATGGCACATGGAGTGATTACAAGGGTAAGCATTTGGGCACCTCCATGGAACAGAAAACCCTTGTTTGCTTTCTGTCATTCGCTGTGGTGGTGAAATTTTGTTTATGGACAGGTAATATGGCTCGTCTTCCACAGTTGGTTCCTGACCAAATACTCAAGCTGAAGCAACTTACAGTCCTTACGCTGGCTGAATCAAACAAGGTAACCTTACATTACTGCGCTCAAAATGTTTGTTACATACTAATTTTGTTGGAGATAATGTTACACCAACTAACAGCTTGAGCTTCTTGAGACTCAGATTGACCTCCTTGCATTGCTAAACGGTTTTTGTTCGTACTTTGCATGACTAAATAATGGACCTTCTGCCAGGTACTTCCGTATGATAAGCTAATGCAGGAGTTGGATGTTACTAATGTTCGCGAACTTGAAGATTTCCTCATTAACGAGTGTATGTATTCGGTAGGTCTCCCTTCAGCTTTGTTCTCGATGTTTTTATTAAAGGTCCAGGTTTTGTAGGCTTTTTTGTTTGGGATTAATGTCAGCTCCAATAAAAGAAGAGTGAAAATTTTATTGTCGTTAACTTTTCCCTCATTTTTCTGTTAGATAAATTGCTTACTTGTTTCCTTGTTACTTGGTTGGTTTTAGGGAATTGTCAGAGGAAAGCTTGACCAGTTACGAAGGTGCTTGGAGGTCTGGGATTTTGGGAATTTCCTTACTGCTTTTTTGGTACTCTACAATGGTCTCTGTTCGTCGATCCTTCGAAGTTCATCTATTATTTCTTTGTAGTACAGGTACAATTTGCGGCTGGTAGAGATCTAAGGCCAGGACAACTTGGGAACATGTTGCATACTCTGTCGGACTGGTAATCTGTTAGTTCCTTGCAGATGGTGCCTTCATATGTCGAATGGAAATCGGTAGTTTATATATGCCATATGCATTGGATGCCTGTTTGCATGTAGTCTGGAAGGAAATCTAGAAGTATGCAATAGTATGTGATATACAGTTCTTACTATGGTCGGATTTTTTAATGAGAAAATGCATGGTGAACTCTCTTGTCTTCTGCTAGTTTCCATTATTCTCCAAAAGCTTAGTATATTTTGTTCATAAGTTCTGTTGGTGAACTAAAGGAAAGTTATGCAGCTCTTTCAGCTATTGTGTTATACATGATTGAAACTAGATATCTTGGATTTTTAATATTTACTTTATATCTTGGAAGAAAATCAAAGTCCGTTCTTGTTTTTTTGAGTCCTGATGCTTGCTCCTATTCCCTGTACATCAGTTGTAAGTGTTGAAACTGATGTTATACTTATGGATACTCTGCTTAGGTTGACTACATCGGATAACCTTTTAGTGTCTATCCAAGAGAAGATCAAGTGGGCTGATACAATGAGTGAAGCGGACAAGAAGCACCGCAAGGATGTAGAAGATAGGGTTGAAGAAGTGAAGAAGTCTCTTTCCCTCAAGGTCAGTTAAGTCCAATTTTATTGTTCCAAACACAGCTACGTGAACGTCGAATGGCTGAACATTGTACAAAATCTGGACAAGCGACTTAGAGTCTTATTTGGTGAAGGTTCTCTTATTTGTTGTTTGGAGAAAGGGCTACTCTTTAGTAGCTTGTGAGAATTACTGATATGTTGTTTAACCTAATTATCATGATAATGGTTGTTAGTTGTTGTCATAGCAGGATGTTATTGTTTAGTAGCTTGTGGGGTATGTTGGTCGATGTGTCTTACTTACATTGTGGCAGAAGTTACACCCTGTAAGCAGGCAGATGCCGACTTCCGAGGGCACGAAGAGATGTACTCTGAAACCGGTGGAGTGATGGACTATGAGGAAGACCGAAGCCGGCCCAAGAGGTATTTTATTTCAAACCTTCACGTTAAGCTTTGGAACTTATTGTCTTGAACATTTGTTAGCAATCGGCATTGCTGAGAAACCAGATTACTCCGGTGCGGCGGTGCTGAAGTCTATATCTCAACTATTTGAACTCCCTTTATTAGATACTTGATAGTATTTTCTAAGCTATTAAAATGACTTAATTTGCAGGAGGCGGCATCCCATATCTTAAAAAAGATTACTGTAGATTGGACATGGTTTACAGCAAAGTTGCTGGAGTTTTTGTTGATGGCATTTCCAGCTTAAGATTGGCGGATGATTTTGTGGAATAGATGATGAACATTACGGCGTTACTTGGAAATGGATATTTATGAGTATATTATTCCAATCTTTCCTAAACATTTGAATTCATTCCTATCCAGTTTAGCACAGAATTTGTAGTACAATTTGTTGGCGCGACTAAGGAAAAATCACTAGAGCAAAATCTTGACAAATACAATTAATCATCGCATCCTTTTTCTGCAGAGACCTGTAATTAATAATAGTATATTGGCGGCTAAATTCTGGTCACTACAGTTTGTAGTCGAAGTCAAGGCTTCAAACACATAGGGTGCAAATTGATGGCTATGGCATCAATTTCGACATAATTTGGCGACACAGTGGATCGTGTAAGACCATCTCCATCCTTGAAATTGATTAGCAATTTTTAACTGTGATCATTATAGTCACATCATCAATTTTAGCAATTCATCACTTATTAATTTCTAATTTCTAGTCATCTACATCTCTAAATTATACTAGCAATTTCTAATGTGGGTCCCATCTATTATTTTAATCTACCTCAACACATTGTAATTGAAAAGTTAGTAAATAAAAAATAAATAAAAAAGACAACAATTACCTATGTGGCATTGCTAGATTGCTAAATTAGAAAGCACCTCCACATCCCTAGCAATTGCTAGAAAAATGCCACATGGGCTCCACATCACTTTAGCAATTGCTAAAGATTGGAGATGGAGATGGTCTAACCCGCTGATGTCTCATTCAACTACAGTTACAAAGATGTCCCTAGAAAAATAGGGATTGGATAATCGGAAAGCTCAAAATTTCGTTTCTATTCTCCTTTTGGTAGCTTCTGTGAGCGAACTGTACACAAACCATAGTAATAAAGAATAGGCAAAATACACTTGTATAGCCAAAACTTTGACGATTTTGCCAATAATAGCCACTTTTGCGGAAATACACAAAATAGCCACTTCCATCCAATTCTTTGACGGTGTTAAGTAACAGGCTGACTAGACTAACGGGTTTGCTGAGTTGGTGGCATTTTAAAACAACATTGCCACATAGATTAATGAAAAAATAAAAAAAAATAGAAACAAAAATGGCCCAAACCCCACATCCGACCGACACCACTGAAAATTCCGCAAACGCGCCCTTACCCACTTCTCCTCTTCCGTCGTAGTTCCTTCTCCTTCTTCAATTCTTCGACTCCCATCTTTCTACCTTCCCTTTCTCTCTCTCTCTCTCTCTCTGTCGACTGAACAAATTAATGTTGCTACTGCTACTGTGAAATTTTCAGCGAAACAGAGGAAGAATGGCTTTCCAAGACCACATGTCCCAAGAAATGGGATTCCAACCGCCGTCGTCGCTCTCAGTCGCCTCCGCCTCTGTTTTCACTTCATCGATAAAAAATTCTATGTTTTCATCTTGTCTCCGCCCAAATTCTCTTCCACGGAATTCTCATTCCCACCATAGTCTTCTCCATTGAAACCCATCTCAAATCCCCAACAAAATCAGAAACCCTAAAAAATTTGAAACACAATGAGAAAGACAAAAACCTATCTCGTAGCTGGAGCCGGCGGAATAGGGGAGACCCCCAAACGATACTCAAAGAGAGAGAAGCAAGCTGGACCAGCGCAGGAACTTGCAGCCCGAGCCTTCTTCTTCTTCTTCTTCTTCTTCGCCGGCGACGATTGAGGAGACATCCCACCGTCTTTGGGAGCCTGATCCTGTTCGGAATTCGCGGCGGCGAGGTTGTTTCTAGGCGAGGAGAAATTGGTCTCGGTTCCACCGGTACCGGGGAGAAAACCCAGTTGTCGGAGCCACCGTGGATGGCGACGGAGAACCCTCTCTTGGGTCGGGAAACAAAGGACTTGCTGCTGGGCAAGCAATGCAAGGTCGGTTTGCAGGGGCCTTTGATTTGCCTCCTCAATCTCCAGGATTGGCTGATTTGGTGAGAGGGAGAAGAAGAAAAAGAGGGGAAAAAGGTTGAGGGAGATACGAAGAGGCCGTCGATTGCTTTCTCTCTCTTATCTCTATTTTGCTTCTTGGACTGATTCCATTGAAGTAAGAGGGAGGGAATTGTTGGGCGTGAGGGTTTGGAATTCAGGAGAGGGAGCATGAGAGGAGGAAGGGGAAGACCGGCAACATCGAGTGGTGGGAGAGGAGAGAGGATGAAAAAATAAATTGTTATTTTTATTTATTTTTAAATTAAAATATGACATGGAATCCATGTGGCAAGTTTTGTTGAGTTGTTGATGAGGTGTCCGGTGAGTTGGCATCCAAGTAAGCATTTTGTTAATCTGATTAATGGTGTCATTAACGTCGTTAAAATATGTAACGGAAATGGCTATATTTGTCATGAAACTTTTAAAATTCTGGCTATATTTGGTATTTCGCCAAAAGTGGCTATTATTGTCACAAACGTGAAAGTTTTGGCTACACAGATGAATTTTGCCTAAAGAATAAGCTAAAGCTTAGCATACTTGCTCAGGGTCGTGTATATAGAAAGGGTGCCTTTGATTCCTTCAAAATCTAGGTCACATGAAGGATACAATAGAGTTGGTAAAGGGAACCAACTCTAGGGTGGGCAACGGGTATTTAGTTCTCATATCCGTCCCTTTTTCTAGGGTTACAGATATCCAAATACCCATAATTTTTTTACGGGATGAGATTTGGGATTAAGAAATTCTACGATAGGTACCCACAAGTTACTTATTAATAGCTGTTTGGATATTACGAGTACCCGTACTACCCGCCTACTCAAAATATAGCGCCATTTCCAGCAAAATAAACCCAAAAAGATAAACTTATGTACAACTAAGACCTATGACCTCTCGCTCAAATCCATTTCCAACGACAACTCATTCATTTCCACCACCAGAACAGGCTTTAACTGATACATAAATAAGGAACACAACTTTCAACAGTAAATAAATAAGGTTTACACAATTCTTACTAAACTCTAAACATGGACAATGGGAGAATGCAAGTTGTTTACCAGTTACCAGTCTCTTGTATTTGATTGCATCCCCAGTGAGGTGTTTTAGGATCATTTTTTGTATTTACGTTGTCAAGCTCTCTACCGGAGAAAATCCCAAATAACAAAAATCCAAAATTTATGAATTACTCGCGGGTACCCGTTATCCGTCCCGTACGGATAATGGGTACCCGTTAATCTATACGGATTTGGGATATGGGATGAAGTTTTTTCTTTAAATGGGACTGGGTATCCATTTAAACGGGATGAATACAATCCTGTCTCGTTGCCCACCCTAAACCAGCTCATAGCCCTAACTCGCTACCTGTACTACTATCCCGACCGAAGGCCAAGTGCACCCTCGATCAGGTGTAGTATAGCGGAATTAAACTTTAGTTATTAATCCAAGCGACAAATCTACTATTACTTCTTGAAATATTTGTTATTTGGAAAATCGAGTTTGGTTTAAGCTATCAACTAAACATGCAAAGGAAATAAAGTATGTTTGATAGAAAGTCACTCGGGTATGCTTCTCTCTAGCCACATATTAGACCGATGATTGACGTTCTAATCTTTCCCACTCAGGATTTATACTGCATAAATTCCTAAACCCGTTTGAACTCCCTGTTCCAGTTATCCAAACTCACCTAGGATGAACTATCTAGAAGGAGAGTTTCCACATCCTCCAAAATAGAACACCTAGGGCATGAAATTTAGATTCCCTTTAAAGGGTAATGATCCAATACAATATTGTAGTCCTATATTATGCTCGATAAATTAACCCACAATAAAGAATTGAGAAAGTGTTACAATCAACCTAATGAGATATTCTCTCCCATTGGTTAGTAGCACAAATAGGAGAGTTTGATCAATACCCAAACCAATTACATGAAATAACTCAATTCAATATATAATCAAGAGTTCGTACAAGCATAAGAATCATTCAATCATTATATACCTAGAGTTCTACACACCCAAGTGAATATGGTTTCTCCTAGTGCTCAATCTTTAATCCTTTGGTGGAAATCCTGCCTCCAATTGGGAACGGAAGCCTCGAATCACCACCTAGTGATCCTTGTTTGTCACTCTCACTCTAAGAGGCAGCTGCCGCTGTCTCTCTCTAAAACTAGCCCCCTTTGAAAAATGCCTTTAGCTCCTATTTATACCCAAAAGTGTCAAATGGCAAGGTTGAACGTAACGATAGTGACATTAATAGGGAAATCGTGACGTCAAACTAAAGCCCACCATTTCGTTTACAAATCTTAGGGTTTCGTTGCAAATGTCAGATTTGAAACCTTGACATCTTCAAGCACCCGCGAACTACAGTTTGGTTCTTAGAACCTTGTAATTCTCACGACTTCTTTGTGGAAGTCACGGTCTGGTCGTGAATTTCTACTATACGAACCTTGACTTTCAACAACTTCTTCACGTTGTCCCGGTTTTGACTCCAAATGGCCCGATAATCATTCCTTTCGCCTTATTCACCTTCTAGGACTTGAAATATACTCAACCAAGCACAACCTAGCATGAAATGGTCTAAAGAACGATTAATCACAAGTCAAACATCAAGGGAAGGGGTATAAATATGTAGAATTAAGCCTGAATCAAACTCTGCCACAGTTAATAGTTTACTCTTCCCCAAACAAACCTAGCTCAAACAGGTGCAACATGATTGACTCTCACATCGTTATACAATTTAGATCGTTGGTAGCGGTGAAGCTAGCAACTTACGAGGTGAATCGTAGTCAAGAAATCATACAACCACCTTGATGTGAAGCACAAACTCAAGTTGGGACCTTCCCAACAGGTGAAGCCAAGACACGTGAAAACAATAGACTCGATGTTGGTGCTCCCACTTAAAGGGTTCAACTTTCGAGCCTCAACTTACATTGCTGCTCATGGCATCACACCTACAGTTTCGCGAAACAAGGGCTCTACCTCCTGGCTAGGGCGAAAGCGACATCCACTTCTTGATGTAGCCCATGTGAGGAACAATGCACATGACAAGGTGTTTGGAACACTCAATATGAAAATTTGGGCAAAAATTTAGGTTCCAAAACACTCTCAATGTATGCCATAAGAATCATTCATCAACATGTGCTTGAAGCACTAAAAAATTTGAAATTTGTGCGATAATCATGGCTTGATAACACCTAAATTGGTGTTATTTACCCTTCATATTGGGGTTTATTTAGTGTAAATTCATGTGCATAATCGTCTGAATAGCATCGATTGTTCTTAACACCTAAATTGGTGTTATTTACCCTTCATATTATGGTGCTTTAGACAATACATGCGAATTAGGTACGTAAAAGGAAACAAGTGTAGAAAAAGGGGCAGAATGTTGATGATCGTGGCCTAGAGATGGAGATCACGGCCGAGAACAAAGACGGCGAACTCAACGAAAGGATCGCGACCACGATCTTGGAGGCTGAGGGTGCGAACTTTGTGAAGAAGCCAACGAGGAGAAACATAAAGTTTTCCCAGTTCGTTCACGACCACATTTCATATTAACCGAGGAAGTTCAAGGCCGCACTTCACGGATCACGACTGTGAAGTAAGCCCGCGAACTCCTCATGCCTGAAGGCCAAAACGGCGGCGGCGGCAGATCACGACTTCAAGGTGGAAGATCCGGCCGCGAACCTCTCCATCCTCTAAAGGCTATAAATAGAAGACCCATTTCCCCCACTTAAGAGAGCTGATTTTGAGATAGAATTTATGGTTAGAGACACAAAGAAGAGGGAAAAGCTGAAGGAAGGAGATTAGAAGAAGGAGGAGCTAGAAGAGAGGAGCCATCTTCCTCAACATCAAGTCTTCCCCAATTATTCTATGTATCTTCTTTCCTCTTTTATGGAGTAGTTCTCTTAGGTAGTGTAACAACCCATCTTTTACCAAGGCCCACAAGAGATTTTCCTACTAAGCGTCGCTTTATGAATTGAAGGAGAAGTTACTTGGCCCACGTGCAACTCATTGCAAGTAGAAAAGGAGCGACATGCCAACATCGGTTCAACCATCTGTTCATGCCCTAGATTTCCAAAAGCTTCTAACGATGGACAAAAGTTAAGAGAAGAAACAGAAAAACAAAGGACAGCAAACAACGGAGGACTTAAATTAAGAAAGCATAAGTTTTCACTTCTATTTGAAGGGTAAGTTTACACAATTATTTTCCACCCTTTTCTTTACCCTATTACTGTTTTAACTCTAAAAGAATCAGGAGAAAGCTTATAGGGAATTTGTGCTTTCTCTCTAGCTGAAAAACAAAACATAAGCGAAATGTACACAATGATTTATGTAATTTCCTTGTTCATGATGGACAAGACAAGTCAACAAGAAGACTCGGTATCTCTTGTTTTCTTATATCTCCATCGTCACACACACATGTATATACATGAATTTCGACTAGCAACTATGAAACTCTAACTGAGTTCTGTCACCAACGAGGCTCAAGAGTCGAGAGAGGCTGCTCGAGGTCGATGGAGGCATTTCGTAGCAAGGACGCGATGAGGGCATCGCGAGAATAGGTGGGGGAGGGTGTCACGCGTGGCGGGCGAGATGACGAATGATGTGGCGGATCATGACCAAGTCAAGCACGTGTGGCATTAGGAAGACCTAGTAGCATAGGATGCTCCTAGGATTCCCCATCTTGAATATGAGCTTAATGGTGCACATAAAGAGCCACATTATGAGGTGGTATAATGGTGTGCATTATGGGGGAAACTTAATAGGGTGTGTTAGTGGGGGAGAGCATTATGAGAGGTATTTATGCCTTGTAAGAGAGGAGGGCCTATAAAAGGAGCACCTCCTCCTCATTTGTAATCATCCATCATTTTTGTGAGCAATACAACTATAGAGTTTCTCCCATCTTCTTGTGTCTTGTTCTTGTGAGTTGAGTGAGTTTGAGAGCTTGTGAGAAGGCTGCCTAGCATCTCTAAAGGAATTGAGAGCTAGGGCCGCACGACCAAGAGTAAGGCCGTGACAGTTGGTATCAGAGCCTGGTTCTGAAAGAAGAACCGGTGTCCTCACTCCCCAAGAAGGAAGATAAGAAAGAGCGAGAACCTCACCAAAGATGG